GAGTAATTTTCCAAATATTTTTCGTTATTCTTGTGTATTTTTACAAATGACTTTTAGTGTCTTCAAAATTATTATCATGTATTTTGAAGGGAACACAATTAACTACAGATTCATTTGAAATCTTCACCTTACTTGTTCTTCCCATACAAAAATGTAAGCTCTAGTCATATAATTTATTTTATCTCTCTTCTCAGTAAATTTTTCTTATTTTTCCACAAAGAACTTGCTCATCTCTTTAAAAATATTTTATTATGATAAAATATATCCAACATGAAAATTGCCATTTTAGCTGTATTTAATTGTAGAGTTTTGTGGCGTTAAGTACATCACATCATTCTTCAATGAGAGATTTTTTTTTTTTTTTCCACCCAGACTGAAACTTTGTAGCCATTAAACGTTAACTACCCACTTCCCTATTTCCCAAGGCCTGGTAACCACCATTCTACTCTGAGCCTCTGTGAATGTGGCTACTGAAGGTAGCTCATATAAGTTGGATTCCATGGTATTTGTCCTTTTTCTTGTCTCATTTATTTTGCTTCTGTATAATTTCCTCAAGGTTCATTCATATCATGACATGTGTCATAATTTCCTTTCTTTTTAAGGTGGAAGAATATTTCCTTGTATGGGTATATCAGAGTTTCTTTTTCCATTTATCTGTCAAGGGATATCTGAGTTGCTTCTACATTTGGCTCTAGTGAATAACACTGTTATGGATATTATGAACATTATTTTACAAAGTGCCTTTCTCTTTAAAAACATTGCTGTCCATTTTCTTGCCTCTAGAAGCGAGATTTTGTTCTTCACCCATTCCGATGACTTTCTGCTAGCTTCTAGGAAAACTATTGATGTTTGGGTCTTTGCCAGGCATTCAGCCGTGTTGCCAAATATCTATATTGATTTTCATAACATTTAACTTGATTCTTCTGAGCTTTCTAGACATATGAAGAAATGTTTTATAAATAAGACTAATCTTATTTTTTCCTTTCTCATGTTTTTAGCTAACTCAGTAATACACCTCTTGGCATTTGCAGGAGGTCATGTTTTATGTGTCTTTTTATTCCCAGGACTCAGCACGACAGGAGGCATCTAGGAGTTGGTTAAGAGCCGCTTGCTGGGTAACAATTTGTGCTCCACATGGGGGCATGTGAAAATCTATCCCCCTTGCCGTATGCATATCTTACTAGCCAATAATTACATAACATAATGCAGGGTTCAATGTCACTTTTCAAATACCCTTTTTCATTTATTTCTTAAATGACCATGTGCAATAATGGTTATAATTCTTCCCATTGGACACACGAGTTAACTGAGTCTCCTAGAGATTACTGCACCCCTTGCTCTCTCAGTGGGACTCCTTCCCCCAGTTTTCCCTTCACCAGTGAGACTTGGTTCTCTCAGCTGCTGGGAGTGTGGCCACTGAGGGTTCACAGCTGAGTCCTTCTGCCGGCATTGATGTGAGTCGAAGGAACCCCCTTTGTCCAAGTTCATGCCCCTCCTGGAATTGCCTATTTTGAATAGGTCTATATGGGGCTACAAAGTGTTGACTCTTTTGCCCACTACCACTCTGAGGCCATTCCCATTGCAGAGCTCCCCATGGGCCTGGGTGTGGCCTCTGCTGAGCAGCACCCAGCCTGATTTCCCCATTCCACATCCCTGCTTCCCCAGCACATGCGTCAGTGAGCCTCTTGCCCATGAATCTCCATCTGAGTCTGTTTCCAGTAACGCTAACCTAGAGCTGATAGAGTCAGGACCCACACAGCAAATATCCTGCCTTTTTAACTGCAGTGCGTCTCAGGTCTGTGAACGTTTGGAACATTTTTGTTTAGAGATTGGTTATCTCCCTTCCACAGATGATCCAGAGGTTCTCACACCTGAGACTTGCTGAAGAAAACCAATGCTTCATTTGGAAAGTTACTTGTTCTCAAAACCCTCTTACTCAGTTGGATCTCTTTTCCCCTTCTCATCCTTAGTGAAACACAAACCAAAATGTCCATCTGTATTGGACTTGCTGAAATATTTTCACTCACATAATTTTATTTGATCCACCTGATGAGGAAGGTTGGGGAGGTACCAGAAACCCCTTGGACTCTTAAGTAAATAAGTAGGAGCTAGCTTGGGGATAAGGTGTCAGGCCATGTAATTTTCAGCTAAATTATGTTCTTGTCACACAGTAAGCTTCATTTACCACCCTGGCTCTGGGACTGACACTTAGTGATGTGTCAGCTCTATTGCTCCTAGGAGCATCCTGGCTGCAGGTAACTGGGCTCCTCAGAAACAGTGGCCGCCTTGCCCATGATGCCCACTGGTCATTTATCAAAGGCCGTGGGGGTGGTGGTCACAGAGTTGGTGCAGTGTCCTCAGCAGGGGCTCAGGTGGTTTCCTTCCATCTTCTCCATCGTTCTTTGAGCTCTTGTTCTTGAGCACACTGCTCATGAGTGAAAGGCGGACACCATAGCCCGAGGCATCCTGTCCCACACTACAGCCTGAGAGGTGAGGAGCAGGAGCAGGGGGAGGTCACAGGGCATGAGAGGAGGGTGGGGAGAGAGACAGTGAGAGAGAGACACAGAGAAAGAGAACTCTCTTCAGAGGACTTTTCTCTGTTTATCCAGCAGATACTCCTTAGTAGCAACCTGCAGAGTGATTGGCAGCTGTTGGCTGGACCTGAGCTGTATTTCCGCAGGGGAGAGGAAGGCTGGGAAGTTCATTGCCGGATACTTTTAGTCTTTGCACTCAGGAGCAGGCAGGAGGAAGGGAATTGACAACAGCTGGTCAGGTTTCCAGAACAAAGTCCCTTAATATGGGAGTTCATCGAGAGCTTGTAGAAACTCCATTGTTCTCTGAAGCTTATGAATGTGTTTATGTAGGAGTGTGCACACACACACACCATTTCTAGAACATTCATCAGATTGCTAATGAGATCAGTGGCTGCACACCATTTCAGCGTTTGCTTATGGGTGCTGACATGTGGATGTAATGCTCTGGGCTTGTGCGGAAGTTAGATGCATACCAACCTCTTCATGGTGGTTTCTTACTTTCCATGTAACTGAACAGCAGCAGGCTACCTCCTCCTTACATTCAATGGGAGTAGAATACAGGAGGATGAAAGTGATGGAGCACTCTAAAGCCGGCTCGAGTCTCCCTGTGAATTGCAATCATTGTGTCCACAGGAACGGTGAACTTTGCTAGCAAATGCTCCTTAGGGAATGTGAGCGAACATTCCTTCTCTTTTCCCCAGGAGCTCACAGTTTAGCTGAGAGAGGATCTACCATTCAGTGTCATGAAAAAAAAAAAAAAAAAAAAGGAAAAAAGCGTTGAATACCAAATGGCTGTTGCCACTCAGGGAGCAGGGGGAAACCCCTTACGCTGAAAATCAACTCCTGATTCACTTGAAGTTAACGTGCTACTGACATATGCAGGCATATCAACCACACCGATAGACATTCAGCCATAGCATTTGTTAGTTTTTAAAATGCAGACATAGGGAGGAGACAATGAAAAACAACCTGGCTGAAAAACTACTGTGGTCGTGGAGAGGAAATGGAAGCAGATGCTCCCCACTCTCCCTGCCAGACCCCCCTCCTCCTGGCTTCCTAGGCATGGCACATGGGGTGTTGGCCTCAGGGCTGTTTCAGCAGCTTCCCCTTCGTCATTTCCCCCTCACTGTTCATGGCAGCCATGCTTGGTCAATGCAGCTCTGAGTGGGGAAGGTATTTCAGAGCCCTGGGCCAGAGGCACCTGCACTGAGGGCTGCACCCCCTCTTTTTGAACTAAAATAGCAAAGAGAAGGGCCACGTGGGCCGGAGCCACGTGTCTTAGGACTGTGACCTAAGCCTCCTGCTTGAGGTACAGATATCTACTATTCCATGAATGATGCTGACATGAAGGAGATGTCTTTGATTAATTGAAACATCCTCCTTGGAAAAAACCAGTCCACTGCATGCCAGTCCCATTTGTGTTTTAACTTCTCTATCCTTAATATTAAGTTTGACACAAGGACTTTTTAAAACTTCAAGTCCAGAGAATGGGTCGGTGGGTGTGAATTGCCAAAACCCTCCTAGGGCACACCCACCTATCCTGGAGCATACCCTCCCAGGACGGATGAGAGCCAGTGCTGCCTTCTCTGTGTGATCTTGCCCGTCTCTGATCTGGTCGGCATTCTCCCCATCAGTTTGCACACACACACACACACACACACACACACACACACACATACGCACGCACACATACACTCTTTTGGACTTTGTTTCCATGTAAGGGCCCAGTCTCCTGTGGAAAGAAGCAGACATCGATCGCTATGTATTTAGTGTCTAGGGGACTGGATGAGGGAAGCTGAGTCCCTGGAGTCTGCTCAACTCTGCAGGCACAGATGGAATCCACAGCCTGGCTAGCTCCACCGAGGCCTGGCCCCTGCCTGTGGACACAGCCAGCCCCTCCTCCTGGTCTCACCAGGAGCTCAGACCAAAGCAGCAGCCCAGCTTCCGGGGCAGCAGCCTGGGCGCCCGTCTCTCCCTGACCCCTCACCAGGGGCTGCTGCGGCTGAAGGCCTGGGTCCCTAGCCCCTGGCTGCTCTCTCCCTGTTCTGAGGCTCAGGTCTCCTAAAGCCACGCAGCTCCTCGGATGGCCTTGCTGTGGCTGCCTCAGCTCCCAGACGCTCCTCTGATCTCCACACCAGCAGAACAAGGAGGCTTCACGAGGGAACGATGGACACCCCGCCTGCGTGCACATGCCCAGACAGCCAAGAACTCAGAGCGAGGCGATGCTACTGTTTTATTGCAGGAGGTGGGGGGAGGTGTGCGCTGCACACAGGGGCTGTGAGAAGCTAGAAGGAAGGAGGGAGGGCAGCACCCCCTGCCGAGCCACAGAGGCCTCCTGCCGCCTTCTCTGTCTCCTGGTGCAGGTGTGGGGAGACCTTCCCCAGAGTGGGGGCCCCTAGTCCAGGGGTGGGAGACTACAGGGGTGGGAGTAGGCGGTGGTCGGTGCAGCTGGTCTGGCACAGATCCCTAGCCTTTTCGGCACTTGTAGCTCACCATGGAAATTTTATCCTCCCAAGGAACTTCGTAGATCTGGAAAGAGCAGAACTCCTGGGAAAAGAAAGAGAGAATCAGTGTGGGTTACAGTTAAAGCAAAAGATGCCCAGGAACAGGACATCAGAATGGGGGTGAGAATGGATGGAGACGAGATACTGAGCCCCCCACCGACCCACCCCTGCCAGGTTCCTGGGCACCGAGCCCAACTGGGCAGTGACTGTTTGATTGCCCCTCCCAAGGCTCCAGGTCCCCAGGTGGCACTGGGCCCTCACCCAGCCCGCAGGATTCCTGCCCCAGCACAGCTCTGTGAGGAGCAGCCTGTGCAAGGCCTCGGGAGCCCCAAGGGTGCAGGGCAGGGGGAAGCGGCTCACTGCCCCCAGCTCCTTCCACCTCCAGCACCCAGGCCCGCACTAAGAGGGGATGGAGGGAAGAACCCAGGGAACTGGAAATTGCAACTCAAAGTGCCCGAGGTGACAAGGAGATGACAAGGACCGTGTGGCTCTCCCCTGAGCAAAGACCTGAGAAGAAATCCCGGGTCTTTGGAGAGGCTGGTGTTGGGTGAGCTGGGGCAGGTCCAGGGTTTCTCAGCTAACAGGCATTTAATTCCCTCTAATATGCGCAGTTTGGCTGTGGCTACTGGCAGGGGCCTGAGGCTGGAATTAGACAGAGCCCTTTCTCTCTTCCCAGATCCCAGCACTGCAACTGCCTCTTCCCAGAACCCAGCCCGGCACCTGCCTCCTCCACCCCAGCAGGCAACACCCACAGCACACAGGGTGGAGCTCCCACTCCCCCCATTTCCAAACTAAAGCCCGCTTAGCAAATCAAATTCATCACCCTGCCCTACACCACTCCATCTGCACACACAAGCATCTACATAAGCTCACACCAACCCTCACCCACAATAATCTGTATGTGAACCCAAATACTCCACACATCCACACACATGTGCATACACACTCCTGTGCACCTTCCTCATGTGTGTACACACACACACCTTTCCACATGCATACCCATATGTGCATACCACCCCACACATACATTCATGCACACACAAAACTCCATATGCACAAACGCATTTTTTTCACTTCACAATACACATCTGCACATGTGTGCCAAACACACATGCATCTACCTATGCACATGAACACATCATTGCATGCATGGCTCTGCAGAGATCTGCACGTGTGCACACATACCCTCCTGAACGTGTGCAGTACAGGCACACACTCGCACACACTGCTCTGCATGCTTGTTGCCCCTGACCCACATCAGGCACGTACCTCTTTCAGTTCTGGCTGGTCATTGAAGGGACAGTTGTCCAAGTTGGGCTGGGACTTGGTGCATGTAGTTCTAGCAAACTTCACATTGAAGAAATAGTTCATCCCACCCACGATCTACAAGCAAGGAAGAGCAGGAGGCAGGGACAGCATGCTGTCAGTTTCACGCGCACACAGGCACTTCAATGTGACTGAGTCACTGGGCTTGCCTGGGGCTTCATGCTGCCCACACTGTCACCCAAAAGGCACACGAGCCACTTTCTCCTGCTGGCTGGCAGGGGTACTGTGTCCCAGGTCTCCCTGGTAACTTCTTTTCTCTGAGTAACTCATAATGTCTCATGCAGCCCAGTAGGAGGAGAATCAGAAGCAGGTCAGATGAAAAGCCAGGACCTAAACCCCCCTTCACTGGACTCAGTAACAGAAGGCACAGCTCTGGGCAGCCAGCCGGGGTGGGACAAAGAAACAGCCCTGGCACCAGGTGTTCAGGGCAGGGTCTAAGCCTCAAGAGAATGCTCCTTCCCACGGCAAAGGATTAACTGAATTCTGCTCCCTGTGCTCAGGGAGCAGGGACACTGAAGCTATCCCAGGAAGGCTGTCACCTGCATGCCAGGAGCTAACTTCCAGCTCATTCAGCCCATAGAACACCTCATTCCCTCTATTAACCCAGATTTATTTACAGCTCATTTACAGCAGGAAATAAGAGGCTTCACATACTTGGATGTTTTGGGCCAATGAGAAAGAGACTGCCTCCCTAGCGCCCGCATTCCAGGTGTGATTTTGGCAGTATTTCTAAAGTGAGTCACATGTCTCACAGTTGCGACTTCAGTAGAAAACTGAGTCCTTTCTCTGCACAGTGCCACCCCCAGACATGACCTGTCACAACTGTGGCAAAGCATATGATGAGTGTGGAAAGTAAAAAGTCCTCATCAGAGTTTCCTTTCTTGTTAAAGAATGAACAATAAATGTCAGAAATAGTTTCTTTTAAAGACTAACTTCAAAGCCTCCGTGTGTGTGTGTGTGTGTGTGTATGTGTGTGTGTATTTGCTAATAACTCTTTGTTAAGCCCTATCCTATGTAGCTGTTAGATACAAAACATAAATACACTCTATGTCCTTGTACTTTAACCAACATATTTGTTCTGAACATGCTCAGGCAGGTCCCAGCTCGCAGCCCATGCCCCTTCCTTACTTAGAAATGTTATTACCTTTCTAAGTCCTTGCACAAGCAACTTCGTCTTTTCCTTTGTTCTACGTTGCTTTTACCTATTTAAGAAAGTTGTAAATTGCCAGCCACTCAAGTTTAGCTTAGACTGTGAAGTCCAGCGCGCACCAACAAAGATAAGATACGGTGGTAAAGACCCAGTGTGTAAAAGATAAATATTCCTGCCTTTCCTTTGTTTAGTGTGCTCTCGTGGCAAGATTGCTGATGAGTAGCACCCTTTCTGCAGAAAGTAAAATTGCCTTACTGATAAAACTTTTTGTCTAAATGCGAATTTGTCCTTGCAGCACCTAAGAACAAGCTGTGCCCAGGGTGTGACTTGAAGAGAGAAGCACGGATATGCAAGACAAAGGGCCAGGCTCCCGTGTGGCCCCTGTGGAGAGGACTCAGGGAGAAGGATGAGCCTTATGGCCTGGATCTCATCCTGAGCAGTGCCAAGCCCACCCAGAGTTGGTATAGTCCCATCTGCACCTGTTGGACCCTGGCAAATGTCAACACCATGGCACAGACACAGTGGCTGCTGTAGGTTAAAGAAGGCTGAGGGGACAAGACAGGGCTGAACTCATGCCCTCATGTCCCAGGAACGTCCTAGGGCATGAAGGCTGGCAGTGGACAGTCAGGGAAAGCTGAATGAGTCTAAGCTTTAGTTAATGTTGATTTGGGGGGAATGCTCTCATGGGTGGGACTTAGGACCCCTGGGGTGGGGACAGCACCCACCTGCTTTTCGGCAGCCATCACCTGACGGGGGCGGCTGTAGTACTCATCCTGACTGTCCTTGTTGTATTCGCTAATGGCGAAGTCCAGGGCACGCTGCACACTCTTGTCATTGAGGTCTGCTGCATGGACGCCACCTAACACGGCCATCCCAGCTTGGGCTGAGGCACTCCCAGCCACGGCCATCATCAAGGCAGTCAGCAGCAGCAGTGGGGTGTTCAGGGGCCAGGCCATGGTCTGCTGGGACACAGAGCAAGGAGCTGGAGCTCCCTGAGAGCAAAGAAGCATGGGCCTGAGGCAGGAAGCCCAGGCCAGAAGGCAGTTGTGCTTTTATCCTGCTTGGGTGCACCAGCCCCACCTGCTCCCTGGCCCTGCCCCTGGCTTCTCCTCCTCTTTCTACCCCTCCTCCTCTGTCTGTATCTCCCATTCCATCCCCAACCACTTCCCTCTCTCCCTAAGTTACCTTTGCTCCTTCCATACCTCCTTCTCCTCCTCGTCCTCACTCCTGTCCTCACTGCAACCTCCCCCAGCCCTGCCCCTCTTCCCCAGTGCTCAAAAACTTGGCTCACCCTGGACTCCAGAGAGGTGACACTGCTCCCCAGGCTGCGAAACCTGATGACCGCCTATTTCCTCAGGAAAGAGAGAAATACAGGGCTTGGTCTCCTAAGGCTTCAGTTGTGAAGGGTATCCAAGAGCACATGGTCACGGTCTGGGAATTCCTGGAGCAGGGAACCTGCTTCAGAAGCTCCAGGATGACCTTGCCCATGCACTGATCTAGGGAACTTCTTTGCCAAACATACAGTAATCAACTTTTGGAAAAAAGGTCATTGGGTTCTCTTGTCATAACTCATCATTATTCAAGAAACAAACCTGTCACCAGCTTCCCCCTGCACCAGGCAGTCTGGACAATGGAGCCATGGATATAATATTTCAGAGCTGCTGCCCAACAGAGAGCAAAGCCCAGGGGCAACTAAAACTTTCTGGGAGACACATTTGAAAAGGTTAAATGGTACAGCTGAAAGTCATTTTAGTATTTTAATGTTAACCTAATATATCCAAAATACTTTCAACACATAAGAATTATTCTTAAGGAGCTAGTTAACATTCTTTTGTGTCTGCGGAATGTCTTGAAGTTCCCTGTGTATTTTTTACAGTTAGACCAAGCGTCATTTTGGACTGGCCCCATTTTAAGTGCCCTGTTGCCACGAGTGGCTGCGGTGGCTGTGGTACTGCATAGCCCAGCCCCTTAGGGTATGTGGGAGGACAGGGAGTGGTCATCAATAATTTAGATTAGGGAATTATAGTCATTCAGTTAGACAGAGATGGGTGCCACTGGACCCTGGTCAGGGAGGTCTCTATGAGAGACCTCCCTGGAGAGGAGGAAAGGTTGAGAAGCTCCAGGCAGCCGAAACAGCCAGTGCAAAGCCCTGAGTTGGGGCTGGGCGGGCCTGTTCCAGGAAGAGGAAGCTCCTGGAGGGGGTGTGAGCAGGGAAGGGAGTGACCTGGAATCTCACCATGACTGTAGCTGGAGCCAGGTGGAAGGTGCAGGGACACTCCTGGAAGACAGTGGGGGTGTCAGAAGAAGGAGCCGCATCTGCAGGATCAATGTGGGAGCCCACGGGCTTCTCTTGCTCCTCCCCTCTGGGAGCCATGCTGCCGGTGCTGGTCCTCTGTGCACTGCTTGGAAAACTCATGTAATATTTTTAAAATCACTTTGAATAAGGTAGAATTTATATACAACAAAATGCCTAATTGTATGTGTCTGACCTGAGAGATTTCATAAATGCGTACACCCATGTTACCACTTTGTCTAGACCTGTAACTTCTGCCTCGCCCCACATGCGGTCCTCCTGCCTCTGCAGCCCACCCTCGTGCCCACCCCACCCTGGCAGCGCCCATCTGGCCCTGCAGACTGCGTTGTCGCCTGTCCTTAGCTTCCCAGGAATGAGTCCTGCAGTCCGAGCCCCGGGTGTCTTTGTCCTTTGCTCAGCGTGGCTTTCCAGCAGCCCCTGAGTTGCTTCATTGTGAGGATTGTGAGTTCTCCTTCTCCCCAGACCGAGGACGTGGCCAGCTGCGTGCCCTGTTGGTTGTCAGAGCCCCCAGCTCGCGAGGCTGTGGGCCTGGGCTGGAATGTGACTCCAGGAGTGGGGAGGTGGGGCTCTGAGCAGACAGCTGCTCCTCGTGTTGTCTCAACCTCACCCTGCAGGCCTGAAGGTGACCCTGTGGCAAACACCCTTATGGTGAGGTGGCAGGCTTGACCAGAAACACCCAGAAACCCTGGGCCTTTGCAGGGCACCCAGAGGACTCTCCTGGGAGTGGTGGAGATTGAGGGTCGGCCAGCGTCTGCCCGGACCTGCTGTGATCCTGGGGCTCGGCCATGGCCAGGCTGGATCGGCAGGAACTCAACAGTGGAAACAACGTTACTGATGGGTTCATGTTCAGTGTTAAAATTGGGGACCTTGTTACCCAAGGCCAAGTGGTCTCATCCCACTGTGAATCCAGCACCCCTAGAAAAGCCATGCACCCCACCAGACACAGCAGGTGTTCCAGGCATGGTGTTTACTGCTGGGAGAGGGAGGGAAGGTCTTCAAACAGGGCTGCACATGATGCCTCCTAGTTAGACAGAAAAATGGGGAGAGATCCCTAGACGGGGAAAGAGAGGATAGCCCCTGGCCAGGTGCTTGTGAGCAGAATGGTCACCTCCCAAGTGTGGGAGTTGGGTCTCCTCTGTGGTCCCCAACTTCCCTGGCCACTGGGGCCGGTGTCTCAGGAGGATGTGTTGTGCAGAGGGTAAGCTGTTATATACATAAACAAGTCTTTCCTGTTTTGTTGTTAGGAAGAAGGTGCAGGTCACCGACATAACAGGCATATGGTAGTGAGTGGAGTGTCCGGTGGGGGCTGGAGTGCTGGCCTGCTTTCCTGTATGTGATGCCACCACCAGTGGTTATCCTCTGCAGGACACTGGAGCGAGCCACAGGGAGGGTCAACTGACCTGATACAGCGACCACTCTAATCTCAGTGGAACAGACCCCCGTGTAGGACATTCTCAGGAGCCACAAGAGATGCATCCAGTATGGGTGATGGAAGTGGAAGGTTAGGGTAGATGGACAGCTGCACTAGCTGCTGGGTGACTTTGGTCAAATGTTTTGCCTTCTCTGTGTCACGTATATGGAAAGGTGAGGTGCTTTGTAAATTGCAGGGTCTAGTGGTTCAAAACTTGCAAGATGTGTTTGATTCTGCAGTGATGCTTAAGCGTGGTTGAAATTTACAGTAGCTCAGTGTTATACTGTACCTTACAGCGACTCTTGAGATTGAGGTGGGAGGATCTCTTGAGCCTAGGTGTTCCAGACCACACTGTGCAACACAGTGAGATCCCATCTCAAAAAAAAAAAAAAAAAAAAAAAAGAAGAAGAAGAAAAGATGGAGCCTTAGTTGCCATAGCCTACAGCCCAAGGGACGGGCCAGCAGGGACCCAGAGAGAAACAATAGACTCAGGACCAAGCCTGGGGCCTCCAGCACCCTTATAACCTAGAGGAATCCAGCTGCCCAAGAGGGGGCATGTTTCCATTCTACCGGGAGATGAAAGAAAAAACTGTGTTCTCCCAGGCTGCGTGTTTCTTGATCCCATGATTGAATTAGTAGAGTGAGAAATTAGGTGAGTGACAGAAGTTCTCTGTAAAAAATAAACAATAAAGGGGAACACTAAAATAAACACCTAAAGACATAAACATCACCTAATGTACAAGTGGTTAAATCGAGTGGGCCAGGAGTTGAGATTTCGCACATCCAGGTTTGGAACAACTAACAATCAGTGTTGATGATAGGAGTCGAGACTGAGCTGCCACGGGAGTTGGTGTCTTCTTAAAGGGGAAGCCCAGAGCCTCCTTTATGGAGTGCTGGTCATTCTCTGGGGTCAAGTTTGTCCCTTACACACCTTTCCTCCTTCCCACTCCCTGCTCCCAAATGTGGGGGATGTGGGATGCTCCCGGCCTATTGGCCGCCATTACCATCAGATGGTGAGCATCTGAGCTCTGATGAGGACAATGCCATGTTATTATGAACTGTGACACTTGCCAGGAAGCAGGCCAGAAGCCCCTGCAGGAGAAGTGGGGTGCAGAGCCCAGCATCTGAGGTCTGATAGTTTGGCCCTCTATGAGGGGAAGAGAATCCTTGGGCAGTTTAGGCTCAGGGATCAAGGTGTAAATAGCTCTTAGGATTTTAGATGACAGCGTTGCTATTTATTTTCTCAAGGAGTCTGTTCTTCTGAGCAGAGCCAGTGACTGGAGAACCACAGCCAAGCGGAGAGGACGGGGAGAGGTCAGGCTGTTGGATGGTGCATCCAGGAACTTCCCCGACTCCCTGGTCACAGTCTTCAGGGGCCTGGCCCAGAAGAAAACAGATGGCTCTGAAGGGGAAAGCAATCCCGTTGGCATCTCTGAGTCATCAGAGTTTTTTTTCCTCATCCCCATCCGGGTCACGGCTGGAACTTCCCTGTCACTGTTTGCATAACCTTAAATATCATTTCCTTTAGTAGAGTGCAGTGACTGTGGAGAGTGGATCCTGTCCCTGCCTGGAATACTGTTGAACTCCATCACTGGGTGCTGGAGCTGGAGCCAGAGGCCATCAGGACAGGCCTGCCCCCTCCTGTGGCCCTGCCTGCCCTCTCCTCCTGTCACAGAGGAGCTGGATGAAGCCACAGGACTCTCTCTAATGAACCTCCCAGGCTCCTCTGAGCCTTCTTCTCCACTGAGTCTCAACCTGGGTCTCCAGTGCATTGCCCAGTTTTAGAAAAGAATCCTGCTAAATCATTCTCGGGAGAATCCTGCTCTTCTCGGCATCTGATCACTGCTGACATCTGATCAACTCCTCATCCCTCACCTTTGATGTCTAAGGCTATGTCCTGCCTTTAGCAAGAGTCCTATTTGGTCAGTTCAGCCAGAAACCCCTGCCTTTGAGGTCTCTGCTTAGTAATTGTTTCCTCACTTTCTGCCACTCCCTGCTCCTTGGCTATAAATCCCCCCTTGCTCTTTTCCTGTTTGGACTTGAGTTCACGCTACCTTACTGTGAGAGTGTTGACCCTATTGCAATTGTCTTGAGTTATCCCAACCAAGGCCAGTCTTCCAGCAGTGAAGCTCCTCAGCCCCCTGTCCATGACATCATCACTGGACTTCTTGCTGGCACCACCCAGTTCTGCATGTCTATTGCTACAATCATCATTTTGCCCACAGACCTGT